AGGAGAGGAGAGGAGAGGAGAGGAGAGGAGAGGAGAGGAGAGGAGAGGAGAGGAGAGGAGAGGAGAGGAAAATAGGAAAGGACCTGTATGGTAAATTTGCAATGCCCATGACCCATCACTCACCACCTTAGACCTGTGAACTGTCCAGACAAGCAGATCGCATAATCTCTTTGAAACGTCTCTGAACCACAGCCTTACAGAATGCCTTAAAGTCTGACACAAAATTCACTAAGAGAATTAGCTGTACTAAGCACAATAAGGAAATTACTTCCCAGTTTTGAGATGCAATACTCTTTCTTCTTTGGTTCCCCTCACTTGTATCTCATAAGTCCTGGTCAGGAAACAGTCACTGTGCTGATGGCTCCATAACCTTCCTGCTTGTCCTCAGTCCTGCACCAAAGCTCCTCAGAGGCAGTAACATCTAAAAGGGGAATCCGTGTGGCACTGTTGTCTGTTCCTCACAATTCCTAACACTTTTCCTTGGCCGAGAACGGTAGGGATGACGTAGCAGAAGTGTGGGTTCTCTGGAAACACTAATAGGAATGGACAAAGAGGATAATCAGGCAAGATTAGAGTTTGGATCTCAAATGGCTTCCTTCTAGAAACTAAAATTACTCCCCGGACCAACAGACTCATTTAGCTTAATGGACTGGAAAGAATTGCACAGGAGTACACTCAGATGTGAGCTCCTTCACGTGCTTACTGTATAACCAGTTAGTTAACCTTCCGAGCCTTGATTTCTTCACACGTAAAGAGGGACTAATAACACTTACTTCTTGGCTTGCCACCCTCAGCAGCCTGGCTCCCTGCACTATATCTTCCTGGTGGTGCTCTAGCCTCTGTATTTCCCAACGGTGATTTCAAATCGCCCTATTTTGCCCCAAACCCCACCTTGCAATCTATTAAACAGAAAAATAGAAACCTCCAGAGGGCATGCCCTTGGTTTCCTGTAAGCAAATCTCTATTCATATGTTTATTAGTTACATTTTTTCATTGTTGGAACCAAATAACGATCAGAGGCAACTTAAAAGAAGGGGGAGTGTTTGACAGGACAGTCCATCGTGGAGGGAAAGGTGTGGTGTGAGGAGCCAGGGGCCAGCTCATCGCATCCTTAGGAAGCAGAGAGAATGAATGCTTGGCTGACATTCTCCGTTTTTTATTCAACCCAGGACTCAACCTATGGTATGTCGTCCACCATATTTAATAGAAATAGTTTCACTTCAGCTAACCCAGTCTAGAAACTCCATTGCAGACATGCTCAGAGAGCTGCCTCCTAGGTGATTCTAGACCCTAGTAATTTGATAGTCAATATGAACCTCCAGACCACATGTTTGTGAATCTCTCCTTCCACTGTTTTCCCAACCCTCAAGAGGTTTGTTCTTTAACATTCTTGATTCTACTCTGTATCTTTAAAATCTCTCCATTAAGGGGATGGAGAGGTGGCGCAGGGGTTCAGAGCCTGTATTGCTCATTCAGAAGTCCCATGTTCCATTCCTAGCACCCATATCGGGCAGCCCACAACCAGTTGTAACTCTAGCTCCAGGGCATGCGATGCCTCTGACCTCTGAGGGTAACTGAACTTATGTACACATATGCACACACAGACTCACACATGTGTGTGTAATTTGAAAGTAATAACAAAAATAATTTTTAATTCTCCCCAGTATGCTGGTACAGTCCAGCCAGCATAGAAACATTCTGTTGTTTTCTTACATTTCATGAAACTAAAAACCCTTGGCTTCTTCCTTCTCCTCCATATCCAGCCTGCCTTTCTCCTCTTAACTTAAAGGCTGTTTTCAGGAAA